TGGCTGGCGAAGGCGAGCCCGCTCCAAGATATAGCTTTACAACGCAATTTCATCAACTGAATACACTATACTTTCAACAAAGAATTACTAAGAATGACAACACTGTTGCGTCCTACAAAGAAACCTAAAACTAAAAACAATAGACTAACATTCATTTAGGGGATATGCGGAAGTATTTAGACCGAGTCTTTACATTAACAAACCCCACGTGGGGGAAAAAATGGGTTTTTCTTGACAAGCAAATGTATGTATTGGTAAGCCTAAAGGGGGTACCCCAAGTATATCATCCATTTAAGTAACGTGTATGCCGAATAAAGTAACCATTTTTAACCGGGTGCTTCTTCCTCAATAAAAGTATAGGAATTTGGCTATTGGTTCAGCTTTGATTTCCCAATGTAGTAGAGCCTTGAGGACGGCAAGAAGGCTGCTTCCTCGTCACCAGCAGATTCCATGGGAATGTTAAGGTGGTTGTTCCCGGAGATGGGGCTCTTGTTGTTGCTATCATCGGTGGCATATACATCTGATGACTTCTTCTCCAGCTTCCAATCCTGTGGATGGTTGAAATAATTGTAGGGTAAAATTCACGACATCTCAAGTCAATGCACAAAACCCAGAATCATTATAGAATCAAAACATTGTTACTTTCGGAGGTCAAAGAAATTAAACCATCTAAATTTTGCATATAAGAAGTAGATATAGACATTCTGACCTTAGTTACTCTTTCTGGGAGGCTTTCCAGAGGAAGCTGATTAGATACTCGGATATCCTTTACCTTCAGGTAGTTGTAAATGACGACCCCACACAATGCTGCAGAGGGAGACATCCATCAATTGGCATTTCAACTCAATCAAGAATAATAAACAATGTAACTCCTTAAAAAAATGCATCGAACTGCAAAGAAAATTACCAACTGCATATCCAATAATATTAAGACCAGTAATGGTAGATTCAGGAAATATAATTGTCGAAAGGGCAATTAGTATCCAGTCTTTCAAAACTCCAGCAACTCGAATAGTGACAGCTCCCGTTCTGCCGATTACGAGAAATATTGAGAAGTTCAAGGCTAAAGCACAAAGTGCATTTGAGAAGAATATCCAGAAATTGAACTGAATATGAGATACTTCCATCCCAGGTTTCTCCAGTAGATACCAGGGTACAAATAAAAAGAGGAAGCTGCACATAATGAATTATAATAAAACAAGTGTTAGGAAAAAGGCTCTGACAATGAAATAAAAAAGTAACATGGGAATTTATAAAAGTAAAGGATGCAGTTAAATATGACAAGACTGAAATAACAGCAAACAGTACTTTCACAAGCACGTGCAAAGAGATGCATAAAATCAAGTACTAAAAGGGCCAGGTTGGCATATGCAACCTGTTGAAAGTATTAAAAGAAATACCATCGGTAGACTGTCAAAAACAGAATGGTAGAGCATATGCAAAGGTAAAGATTGAAGAAAATGAAGTAATTAAAGCATATTGAAAGAAAATAGATTATTTACAAAAAGCACAGAATTAGATCAGTTACATCAGTATCATTTCTAGCATCCCTTCTACATCCCTGATTTATCTAATACAAGAAAGTAAATTGCATGAACAAAAGGGCATGAACCATGGGAGTACGAGAAAAAGAAAACTGTTGTCAAATACTAATGAAAGCCATAACAAGTAATTAAAATACAGCAGCCCAACCCCTAGTAACAAGCTGCTGGAAATTTCAGGGGTGTTACATCCCTGATTTATCTAATACATAAAAGGCAATTGCACAAAGGGGCACGAACCATGAGAGTATGAGGAAAAGAAAACCATTCTGAAATAATGAAAAACCCATAATGAGTAACTAAAATACAACAGCAGCGCTGAAAAACATCCATCATGTTTCACTACTATACAGTAATTTGGCTCAACATCATATGAAGTCAATCATTTCCACCTCCGATGAAAAGCCTAAATAAAAGATAAGTCTGTCTATATAAAGTCAATCATATCCACCTCCTATGAAAATCATAAATAAAAGATAAATTTGTCTACATATGAAGTCAATTATGATAATTTTGGACTCCCCTATAAGTTAAAGGAAAAAAATGCGAGTGTACTCAGTGTAGTACCTGCATCGTACTGAAAACAAATATGGTATCGAAACTATATCATTTCTGAGTACTACCCTGGCAGAACTTCTTAACTAAATAGATTCCCATACACATAGAGACACTAAAAAGGATATAATGCTGAAAGTGAAGTGAGAATTATTCCTAATTCCTACACTAGTATCTCAAACAAAATTTTGCTCACTAATCGCTTCAACAGCACTCGCATCAAGATCACTTCGTCCTAAAATGATATGAAAGACCGACGATGTTATTGGAAAGTTTGCATCCATAGATCAAGTGGGCCTTTTAGGAAAAAACCTCCAACCACATGACTGACTATATACTAACAAATGTTTTAGGACAAACTGACAGTAAGTGAAGAGCATGAACCATCAATTGGTTTGGTGTGTCACTGTGTCATTGGCTTCTCAACTGCTCCCAGCACACCAATGTTAGTCCCACCATACATCTTGCTTTATGTGTATAACAGGCGTATGGAGTAAACAAAAGCAAGCATTTCAAATACTTCAACTCATGCTCCAGGGGGACCATTTGTTTCCTATTATACAAATGCCGAATGCAACTATTACATGAACGAGTTGAAATATTTTTAAAGACATGATTTTCATCCTCTTTGTTTTATGATTGTGTAAACCAAGGTAAAGTTTGCAGATCACCTATCAGGATGGACCTATGAAAAATGTAAAATCTTTAATAGCATTCTATTGTGAAAGTTGAACAAACAGTTCAAGCTGAAGTATTAGCCAGAATGGCCAAAATATTGTCACGAAAATAAATTCATAAGTGAAGATAACTGCTAAAGCATGCCCCACCCATTTCCCTCTTTTTTCCTTTTTTTTCTTTTTTTTTCTTTTTTTGTGTGTTTTCCTTCCCCATTTCTTTTAGAAGAACAGCTTTACTCCTTTGGATAAAGCCTAATACGTTCACTGAAAACACATAAACCATACTAAGAGGATAAGAAATGGACTCAAAGTTGTATCTCATATTAATTTCAGCCCACCTATCTTCTTCGATAAATAAATTCAATTTAACAACTGAATAGCATCCGTCACAATATAAAACTGTTTTTTCGAATTCAACCCTCAGAATAGAATAATTATGTGATGTACTAGAGAAATAATGGTCTAATGGTGGGAGTTGCAAAATGGATAATGCATCAACAGATTATTAAAAATAAACTAAAAAAGGCCAATGCATATAACATTTAAGATGTGAAAAGCAGTAGATCCTGACAAAAGAGGAAACTAATTTGGATGTTTACCAGGTCAAATCTTGTGCAATTTGTTCAAAAGTTGCAAGGCAACATAGAACGTACAACTGAAGTTAACATAATCTGGGACAGACTTTTCTGCACTTTGTTAATTTAGTTTATTAACGAGTGACAACTTCATGGAAATGCCATAACCAACAAGACACCAAATCTTCCAAACACATCTATTGAAAAGCTCAAAAATATAACTTTGGGAAAAAAAAAGCAATATGAAACTAAAAATAGAATACCTGCAGGGAGCAATGTAATATAGACTGGTGACAGGATTTAACGTCAAACCCTTTTTCTGAAGAAGTACTTGTGTTAAAACCAGCCTAAGAGCTTCAGCAAATATACCAGTAACCTGGTAAACTGTTCCAATTGTATTAAAATGAATTTCTCCGTATGACGAGATTACGACCCCAACACTGACAAGCAGCATATTCAGGAAAAGATCACACCTTAGTTTGTCAGTGCCACATATGACTGCCATGACGAATGTTGCTACAGGCACTGCAACAGAATGTATCTTAGACTATCAGAACATTGACTGTAAAAATTAAAAGAGAAAAGGCTTCAGGCCCTACTTTCCCCCTAAGCTATTCAATTTGTCCTTTGATACGCCTTTGAACTATTTAGTCCCATCTTACACCTTGAACTATTAGATTTGTCCTTGTTAACCCTAAACTTTTTTTAGTCCCACTTTACCCCCTAAATGGATCCAGTAATAGTTCAGAGGGTAAGGTGGGGCTGAAGTGATAGTTCAGGGAGCAAGGTGTGATTGAAAATAGTTTATGGGGCAAAAAGGAACAACTAAAAAAGTTAAGCGGGTAAGATGAGACTAAAAACATTGCGGGGTATGAAAGCACAAAAAGAATAGTTTAGGGCGCAAGTAGGTCCTGAAGCGAAAAGAATATACACCACATGACATTGAGTTATTTGTGGTACTTACTTAAAGCTTTGAGCATTTGAATGAAAGCAACTGATATGTACAAATAAGCAGTGTTGCCAAACCTGTGATACAAGAAACATATGTTATCATCAAAATGAACACATGCCTACCCATCACACTCAAAATACAAGTTTTCAAATTATCTCACATCCCAAGGGGAAAATGAAGGAGAAAATATAGGGAGGAATCATATAGGGAGAAATAAGATCAAAGTTTGTGTATGTCAATGTTTTAAATGACAGATAGTCCATGGTCCATGGACAATACGGACACATCATTCTAATCATAAAACCTGGTGAAGGATGCTTATAAAAAAACCATGCCTTAAAATATAGACAAAGCTGCAACCTCAAAAGACAAAATCATTCACCTCTAATAGCTCTATTTACATTTTAATCGATGCAAAACAAGTTTGTCGCTGAATCATTTATAGTTACTCATTTATCTATGTCTAATTCCAAACTTACAGAACTATAATATACAGAAAAGAACTCCAGAAAGTTCAGGATAGGAATGTATGCGAAATTTGATAGCATAAAGTATAGCAATAGCACATATAGCAAATAAGGGCGGGTTGGGGAAGGAGAGTAGGGGACACAAACACCCCAATGCTTTTGACATGAAAATTACCATTTCAATACTAGTTCAGATTCCTTACCAAAGACTTGACGCAAAGAATGCACTGATGGGAATAATACACGTAGCATATCTGCAAAAAGTAAACAAAAGAATACACATCTGTGAAAAAACATAACTTTACGAGATATTTTAAAAATTAAGGATGCACTCCTTACATTTGAAATGTCATCTTAACAGGAGCAACAACCTGCAAACTCATACAAAGAGAATTGCATGAACAAATTTCAGAACAAAAAGGACACTGCTATAGTAAATATGAAAGCAAGAAGGCTTCTCAGTAAGAAAAGAATACAGCTAACAGTAACTTTAGTAGTTGATACTTAAGTGACCAATACCTATGGCCTTAATATGCATTGTGTAGTTGATCTTATAAACTCAATTGTTTTATACTCACACATGATGCATGAATTAATAGTCAAATCAACTATATAATATTATATCATGTACATACTTCATGTGCCCGGTATATTGCATGATTCCCCAAGAGAAGTCAATTTTACCTAATAAATACAATTCTTAAGTACAGTGACTTGGGATCATATATCATAAAATGTCAATCGCTTGAACTTCTCAAGTAGGTACACATGTATACTTTTCTACATTACTTTTGCATTTTCTCCCAGCACATAATATTCCTTGGTTGCATAAGATTAAATTGCAGCAACCGTTAAGAAAAATTTCCTTAATAATTTGCCAGTCTTCTAGGATATGCATAGTTTCAATAGGAATTTGTCACTAAGTTAAAAGCAGATCACAAATTATCTGTCCTGAAAGTTTGTCAAATCTTTTATGTAGCATTATCCTTCATACCAGTCAAGATATGGTGATGGGATGGTAGTGACAAAATCTTAATGCACTTCTATAGTACCGATATGTTATCACTACAAAAGAAAATCTTTTAGTACTGTGTTTTCATACATTAATCTCTTATAGTTAGGTCTGATCATCATTGTTTTAAATATCCCGACATGGCCCGATATATCCCCCGATATATCCTTTTACAGGGCTTGCCGCAACCGATATGGTCTTTAAATATCCTTTACCGCTTTTTGACTATTTTGAGTGATAAATCTCCGATATGTCCGATATATTAGCTGATATGTGGACCAATATATCTTTTTATATAGCTTGTTGCAAAATAATATACCGTGTTTGGAATTTTTGGGCGAGATATCAAGATTTCCCCATTATATCAAATGGCATTTTGTCCTAAAAAAGCAGATTGAATGTTGCAACGTTGCTTTGCACTTTTGTTTGTTTTAAAAGGTTGATTAGTGATCCTAAACATATATTATTCATATTTTGTATACTTAAATTTCATTACATATGTTGAGATTACATTTTAATGCATTATATTATGTATGCAAACATTCATTATGGCATTCTGATATTTACCACATATCCCTGATATTTCCCCGATATCCGTAATCCGATATGATTTTTGGTCATCCGATATTTTCCCGATATCCGATATTTAAAACCTTGTTGATCATTCACATACTTCGTCCAATGCTACATTTAAATATATACCAAATATAGACCTCCACACAGTTAATTTACATCCAACCTATAACACTTGTTTTGGCATGGCAAGCCATCTTTTGTACATACACCCCTCTCATCTTTAGTTTAACCAAACATCCTCTCTAATAAACTGTAATATAGTTTTGTGCATGTCCTCTTTTAGAAATTACTTTTCTTTTGTTAGAGTAAATAATTCTCATATGAATATCCCGTTCTTGATGGTTATGCAAACTAAAAATGTAAGCATAAAAACCCCTCATTTGTGTGGCCACTGTCACTTTCTACCCCAAATCTAAAACTCTCATCATTTATCATTCACATCAAGGTCTAATTCTTATTCTTGTTCATTTTGTGATCAAGCTAAATTTTGTGCCTTTCCATCTGTTAGCGCTTCTAGAAATGGTTTACACATAAAATTTCTCAAGTGCAAGGTATTTTACAACCGCAATGAATGTCAGCAATGTGATTCGCTAGTTTATTTTCACCATAATACACGATCTTATGGATCCTCCTCTTTGTTTAAAAGAAGGATCGCATAAGATGGCTCCATTCTTATCGAACAATGGCAGAAGGATGAGAACCTCATCTAGCTTTCAAGAAAAAAGTATAAGGCTGAAGAAGGTATAAAGATTGAAGATTTCTTTGAAGGCATGACGTAGCCATTTATTATTAAGTTTTTTTAAGGAATAAGTAATCACGTCTTCATCATCATCAAGATTCAAGAAACCGCGACTACTTTTTTCCTCAAAAAAAAGATGAAAAACCCTAACCCTAATCCTCGATATGTTCAATCTAGATACTTTCTTCAACCTAGCTCAGTGGTCAGTTCCCTTGAAAGTCCAATGACGATCTCACCCTTCCGCCATTGTTCAATGAGGATGATTGTGTCTTATGTGATCCATATCTTAACAAGAAGAACTAAGATCGTGTATTATGGCGAAAAAGGTACTACAGAATCACATTGTTGAGGTTTATCGCGATCTTAAAATTTTTTGAGATCGAGGAAATAGATGTGTGAATCTGTTCTAGATGCGCCAGCAGAGGAAAACGCACGAACTTCAGTTTGATCACAAATGGAGCAAAAATAAGAGTTCGATCTTATAATGAGACAAATGGCAAGGGTTTCAGATTTAGGTAACGACAAAAATTGTCACACAAATGAGAGATTTTTCTCCTCACATTTTTAGTTTTTGTAACTGTTGAGATTGAGATATTCAAGTGAAAACTTATTGTTTTAGTATTTATTGTAAATATTCATGTGATGATCGTCATACCTGTATGAAAAATTGATGTCATTGGACATTACTGATTTCAGGACAGACTAACTGAAAGACGCAATGTGTTGTTTTCTTCTTCTTTTTCACTTTTGAATACATGACATCCATTGACATGGTATCATAGCAACCGAGTTCAATTACCATCAGCCACAAATTTAAAACCGATTTTAAAAAAATCTAATACAGCTTTGTGAGTCCAAGTTTTGACCCATAAAAAAGGGCAATCGACCTGTGGAGAGCATGTTACAATATAAAAGTATAAGCCTCAACCCTGGTGCAGTGGCAGGGTCCTTTAGCAACTTGTACCACTATACCACACAACTTTACTAGTTTAATAAATCCACTAAATATCATCTCATAGTGTTTTTAAGTTAAATTCTAGAAATTTTATTGCAAATCTACAATATGCTACTTGACACAAGTCATTAGAATATTGCCATCTCCTTACAAAAGCATATGAAAAGCTGAATGGCATATGACACATACTAACTGCTTATTCACACTATTCTTAATCCTACTCACTTAAGTTACACCTCATATGCTACTTATTAAAGGAACAGTAAAGTAAAATAATGTTGCATAGATACTCATCCCATATTAATTTGGCATTTATGATGTTTAAATGAGCCTCCAATTTACCCAGACTTCTGTATTGGTGTTGGTGTTGCATACATGTTTTTCCGAATACTATTTTGCATTTTCTGCTTTTTATCTTGTATAAAGTTTGTAATTTCTCGATGATGCTTTGCAAATTTGAACTTTTTTAATGCCATATCCATTTAGGCAGATTTATTTACTAATAGTTTCTCAACAAATTTCAGTTTTAAAATCTAATATTATCGATTACCTACCTAAACACAAGTGTTATCCAATGTTGAAAAAAACGCGTTAAGAGGCGTAAAATCGCGTTTAGCGTAACGTGGCGCTGGCTAAACGCGACGTAGCGGTTTGAAATCGCGCAGTTAACAAATAACGTACGCTATTTTCTTCGTAGCGTACGTTACGCCTCGTTAAGTTGTAGCGATCCTTAACCCACGTTATTTTGTTAATGGTTAGGATTTATTTAAAAAAAAAACGACGACTGTGATCGACTAAGAGAACAACAAAACCCTAAATCAGATTCTAACCTCACTCCTCGTCTTCGTCTCAGGTCCTCCTCTTCTTCTCCGGACCTCGTCGTCACCCGCGAACGACGAATCTTTACCGTCGTCGCCCGCCTGGATCTTCGCCGTCGTCGCCCGCTTGCATCGTTGCCGTCATCGTCGTCTCCAACCGAGCTTAGGGCTTCGTCGTCGGGCGAACTTAGGGCTTCGTCATCGCCCGCCTGGATCTTCGTCGTCTCCAGCTGAACTTAGGGCTTCGTCGTAGGGCTTCGTCGTCGACCTCGATCAGTGAGCGAAGGCATTTCTTTCTTTTCTTCTTTTTTTTTTGGGTCGGGGTTTTTTTATCTTCGCTTTTTGTTTTAGGAGGGGGAAGATAGAAGCAGGGGAAAGTGACGGGATTGGAGATAAAGACGGGTGATGAGTAAGTTGGCACTTGGCAGGATATGGGGGAGATAAGGTTGGTAGGGTAATGAGTTGGTTTTTGTTTTTTTGTGTGAGTTTGTAATTAAGCTTTTCTTTAATATATTTTATTTTGTTTTTTTTGAGTTTTATGTTGCCCTGTTTCTGCAAAGTATTTTTTTATCCCTAAAAGATTTAGTTTATTGAATCTATCAGCTGCAGAATAGTCTCCTTGTTAATAATTAGACTGAGGAGGTAATTAAGAACAAGATGTTTTTCCTTCTCAATTGATTTGTTTTGGGAAATTTGATTAAAATTGATAGGAACTAATTATTGGTCTTGCAAATTGTGATGATATATTGATTTGTGAAATTAAAAATTGTGATGATTATTCATATTTTTTTATTTTGAATGTTATATATCTATGAATTATTTAAATAATAATAAATTATTTAACCTACGTTACGCTATGCGTTATCGCTATTGTAACCTAACCGGAGGCAAGCGTTACGCTACGCGTTAACGCTATTTTCAACATTGGTGTTATCCTTGATTTGACAACTCATGCTTCACATGTATGTAAAACAATTTTGACTATATAACATCAACTACAGAGTACAGAGTATGTATTAAGGCTATATGTTGGGCTATTGTAGTATCAAATACTAAAGTTATGGTCAATTGCGGTCTCTTCTTTATGAGATATGAGGCTTTAAACCTGAACAAGGGAAGAAAAGGAGGTGAAATGAAAAGGTTGCATACATTTTGCGCATGATAAAGAAAGGTAAAGTATATGCATGATCAAGAATTCCAAAGAAATAAAAAATAAAAATAAAAAAATACAAACATACCTTCAAAACACGAACAAGAATGAATGCTACTGCACCGGAAAATCCCATGTGGATCATAGTAAGTGTTATTGGAAAAGGAAATTTGAAATACTTAGGGGAGAGAACCCACTGCAAAAGAAAACAGAGTTAAATGCCTAGTCTTGTTATAATTTGCTCTATAAACAGCCAATGATAAAGAAAATAAGTATAAATGTACAAAAAGAGCAGCATATGTAATTGAAATACAGATGTGAAAAGATAATTTCCATGGATATCATACAAGAAACTAGCAGTAGTGAAAAAATTCCTAAAATCAATTTTATGGGAAAATCCTAGATAATGTTAGACTTATAAAATTAACAAGGTAGACCACAAAGAGATTAACAGACTCCCTACATCTTCATACTCATAATAGATTACGTGCACTTGACAACTATTCTTCAAGGTCTTGTGAACCAGGCGTTCTGGAATTGGATATCGACAACAGGAGTGTAAGTCAGGTGGGCCGGGCCACACTTATGGTATTTGCATACATTGATACATATAAACTAAACATCTGTTAATCTAAACTAACTAGGATTCAGAAAAACATCTACCAGTTTCACGTGAAGAGTTGGAAACATGGTCAATATCACTTGATTGGATTTGGCTAAACTCCTTGGTATTTGAAGCAGCCTTCCCCCTTTCAATGCCCAAATCTGACCTGCCTGGAAAGTTTGGGTTAAACGGGTCAAGCTGAAAACACTGGTTTGGATGAGAGGAAGCGTAAGCAATTCTCCACCAACCACACCTGACACTGGTTAGATGAAAGAGCTAATGGGTTTAGAATATTTTACCTATCTTGTACAAATTTTTATCTCAACTGTTGAGTTGAGTTGCACACAGGTCGGGCATCCCAGATCAGGTTTAATCAAGGTTCGGATCCTAAAATAACCATTCCTGGTCTAATTGGAGTTTTAACTCAGTTTAAGGATGCTAACCATAAGTAAACTATTAACTGACCAAACCCACATTAGAACATTGGATTGGAGTCCTTGGATGGTTGGGTAAACAAACTTCACTTGCAACCCTAACAAAATATTGTCCCTCACATCTCATGAGTGTTCCATCAGATAGCATAGATAGGACATATATGTTGCATCAACGTCCACAAATCTCACTTTACCATGTCATTGTTTATTTCCAAAAAAAAAGAATTGGGTTACGTGGCAAAAATAGAAACTTGCAAGTAAATCAAATACATTTCACACAGCTTAAATTTGCTGAGGATAAGATGGAGATTGATTTGGGAAGGTTACAGATGTGCACTAAAGACATTGAAGGAAGATCCTAGTTAAAAGGAACCACGAAAAGCAGATACAGACCAAATTAAAACCTGGCCTGGACAACAAAGAGGACGTGGTAGGTGATAATTTACCAAAAGAACATGGTCACTATAAAGCTGAAGGGAGGGAGAGCACATGCAGACAACCCTAAACAATTCATAATAAACTTTTTCTTTATTGTTTATCTAATGAATCATGTGATCAATCATTCCATTAGCTTGATCTTTCATCTAAACAAGATCTTGACAAGGCACTATACAACAGTTGGTTGTTCTTTTACTTAAAATTCTATTTGTATCACCAATGTGGTTGTTTATGAGATTTATCATGTTAGAAAGTTAGAAATCAATTTGAAGTTAAAGTGGGCTTGTCATTTCAACCTAAATATTATGTAGTTTCACATGCTAGACTGGTTATCTTCACTAGACCAGCTAGACTTCACTCCTAAAATAAAACATATTCAAAGAAAGTATACTTTGAGACATGTATGAATGCAAGACATTCATATATGATACCCCAACACGGTAATTTTGGCGTCGTACCAATGTCGGGTGCGGTTTGGGTACATTTCCGCACCCAAACAGAGGAGACACGGGAGTTTTGGAGCAGAGGAAAATGAGCTTAGATGCAAGAAAGAAGAAGACTCTCTCTCTTATTTCCTTAGTTTTAAATTTGTTAGTGGAACATGACATCACCATTCACATGGGTGCTTGACTATTTGCTTGTCTTTTCTTTGAAATTAATAGCAATGCCAAGAATGGGAGACATGTGCTCTCATATTTAAATAGGTAAGTGTATATGTATGTATGTATATACGTATGTATTTATTTATTTATTCTTTTTTATGCTTATATGGAATATAAAGTCAAAGTTTCAAATGAGTTTACTTTATAATTTTAAGGAATGAACTTATTTTATTAAGAATTTGAAATTAAACATAGTAAAATTGATATAGATAATATAATTGTTAATGTTATATATATATATATATATATATATATATATATATATATATATATATATATATATATATATATATATATATATATATATATATTAAATATCGGATATCAGGAAAATATCGGATGGCCAAAATTCATATCGGATTGCGAATATCGGAGAAATATCGGGGATATGTGGTAAATATCGGAATGTCATAACGGATGTTTGCATATATAGTATAATGCACTAAAATATAATCTCAACATAATTAATAAAATCAGGGCAAACAAAATGTAAATAATGTATGTTTAGGATCACTAGTCAACCTTGTAAAACAATCGAAAGCACATTTTGTTCTGATTGTTTTAGGCCAAAATGTTGTCTGATATGTTAGAAAAATCATAATATCTTGCCCAAAAATTTCCAAACGTTGTAAATTATTTTGCGACAAACCATATAAAAGAACATATTAGTTAATATATCAACTAATATATTGGTCATATCGGGGATATATCGTCCAAAATAACTAAAAAGTGATAAATGATATTTAAGGACTATATCGGTTGCGGCAAGCCCTGTAAAAGGATATATCGGGGGATATATCGGGCCATGTCAGAGATATTTAAAATAATGGTACCCGTACCCATGTCCATACCCGTACTCGTACATGTGCAACCTAGACATTCATCATTCTATATTGTGATAATTCTCTTCCACAAGCACTACCAATCAGCAGCCTTTATTTAACTCATTTTGTTTTCAATGTGAGTCAAAAGGCTTAAATTTTAACTAAAAAGGTAATAGTGCCTTGAGTATTACGTTACACTAAGATTATCAATAACAGATAACGTTACGTAGCGGTGAGGCACCGCTAAGGTTATTAGGAGCTATTGCGACAAAATAGCTGCAAAAAACGCAAAGTCAAATAGCAGTCCAATTTAAATATATATAAATATTTAAGAAAAATAAAGAAAATATAGAAAATTAAATAAATGCATGTTTGATAATTTAAAAAGATCCTAAGCATGAAATAGGCAGTAGCTATCACATAATATCGAAGAGGGGTAGAGGAGAAGTCAAAGAGTCGTCTTCGAGAAGATAAGCTGAGCAGTGAGAAAAGTGCAGTATGAGGAGCTCACAACGAGAGGAGGTGAGAAGAGAGTGTTGTAGCAGTAAGAGGTGTTAAGGGAGGTACTAGGGGTTGTGGGAGGCGACGGAAAACAACAGGAAGACGTCGAAAGTCAACGGATGTAGTGGGATGTAGTGGGAGGCAGCAACCTTTGTAGGGATTAGGGTTTTTTCGAGTTGGATCGCGAGGGGGAGACTCAGTAGAGAAAAAAGTACAACCGACAATGACTTAAAACATCGGGTACAGCGGACGCATGTCAGGTTTAATTAAAAAAATAAACCTGAAACTGCTCTTAAATAGCGGTTAAAAAGTTGATTTTACCCTCAATCGCCTGCTATTCACCGCTATAGCGTGCTATTAGCCACTTTTGTAAGCAGAAAGCGCATACTCTGCAATATCCCATCACTACTAGGCGATATCGTTGCGGAAGGGCCCGCTAACACTATTAGCGCCGCTATTACGGCGCTATTTAACACTATCTATAACAGTGTGCAATGTTACATTAAACGCTGAGTGCTTCTAGGCGGGCACCTAAGCGATTTCTGGACGTTTTTTTTTCTTTTTTCTTTTTTTAATTGTGATACTTGAAGATAAATATATATATACTCAATCAAAGATGCATAAATACTAAAATACCAACACTATTAACTAAATTGCTTGGTTTACCAATTACAATAACTCTTTGTATATTTATACTTCTCAACTCAAATTATAAATTCATCTCAACTCAAATTACAATATGTATTAAATTCATATAAATTTTCAAAAAAAGATAGCAATTTTAGTTCCACAATAAATCATGCATACTTAGATACTAAATAACCAAAATAATAATTAACAAGGCTAGAGCCTAAGATGTTTTCTTTTTTTATTTTTAATTATAATAATTAATAGTGAATGTCAATGTTACAGAAAACTTAGATGCCGGACTGGTGTCTAGGCGAATTTCTTTTTTCATTTAAGTGATGGTCGATGAGGTTTTGTTGAAGGTCGGAGGAGGTAGTGGAGGTGTTCATATTTGGAGGTTAATGGAGTTTAGAGGACGTGTAGGCTACAACACATAAAATCACAATCAAGACATACAGGATGCAATCCACGTAAGCAGGCAATGCTCCTCTAAATGCTCGTAAAATCTAGGTGGGCAGCCTAAATACTGCCTAGGCGCTAGGCGCAAGTCAGGCGGCCTAGATACCGCCTAGGCCTAGGCGAACGCCTAAGCGGACTAGGCAGAGGTTTTTTAAAACAGTGACAGTGTGTTAGACACTCCATCAAAAGGTATCCTCATTGGTCTCTCGTGCCCTTATTTGAAACATGTGTGAGCTATCAACAATATATTTTCGGCACTTAAGAACAACTTCATTCCACTACTGAAAGTAATAAGAACCTCTTCCCATGTAACTGCCTGGTATCCAATCAATAATATCATGAATTTTCAACTCCAATATGTCTTTGTGTCCATTTGATGCAATTATTTTCCCCAGAATTGGATAGTATTTACTCCACAGAGTGAAGACAAAGACCAAATAATTACATATATTAAGTAGTTTTCCTTGTCATTTTGATATTATTAGTACAAAAGTAGTACAAAAAGTGTAGTCTAGTAAGCACTACTCTAGAAGACCCCACACTTTTGAATCTTAGACTTGTAGTCCAATGACTCCAATTAGCATTATTCTTTGTTAAACATATGGGATCGTTCATAGTAAATCGCTATCTGGGCTCATGTTAACTAAAAGGATGCACCCTTCTCATTCTAATGGTAGTAAATAAGTAGTACAACAAGTAACAGTCTTGTTATCATCCCGCATCCAACAGAAGAAAGCTAATATCCTCATTGTAAAATAGCTATATCGATAGTACCCAAATAATAATAATAATAATAAATCATATCTCCGTGAAACTTAAATTCACAGGCTTTAAATCGTACCTTGTTGTAAAGAATAACTCCAGACGAGAGGCATATGTAAATAAGCAGATAGAGGTAAGTAAGCAAATGTTGCCTATTTATCACCATTTTTTTGACCTCTTTCTCCTTTAACAAAAAAAAACTACAAATTCCTCTTCTCATAATGCAATCTCAACACTCCGAAGACGAGATTCATCTTTAAAACCTACAGAAAAGATGAGAGCTTTATGATCCGAGAGGGCAAGAAGCGAGAAATGCCAGTGAAATTGAATGAAGATCTAATGGAACCGCACCTGATCCCTTGGATTCGAGAAACCCTAGAGCGCCTAGATCGAAAAACCCTACGCGATTGGGTTCGATCGAGCCGGGGTTTGAGGTCGCCGGAGATTTTGCGAGGGACCGAGTGGATCTGTGATGAATATTTTTTAGAGAGAGTGTGTGCGTATAAAAGGGGTACAAATTAGGAGGAGGAGGCCGCAGCAGGAGATGTGGGTCCCAGTTCGAAGGAAGCGGATCGCATTCGGGTCGCATTAAACAGTGTCCGGCTTTTCTTCTGAGTTTTGGGCCCATTTTTGCGTTTTGGTTATACATCACACTCTAGACAGCAAGAGTCTGAGGTTTGGGTCGTATTCAGGTCGGATTCAAATGGGTCATGGAGAAAAAGCGTCCGACTTTTCTTCTGAGTTTTGGGTCCATTTTTGGGTTTTTGTAAGATATCTACTCCTCAGTCCAAATAGGGGCACCAAAATTCACTATTTATGCTATACCAAATATTAAAGTAATATTTATTGTAGTATTATTACTGTATCAAACATGAATTGGATATTGTAGCAAGTTTGGAAAAATATCAATGTATCGCACGGAATACTATAGCATTTTTAAATATTTGTAGCGACGGTAACTGTAGCAACCTAAGAATTTTAAAATCATTACTATAGCATTTAAAAATCGGGATTATTATAGCGAAAAAATATATATCGTGTTTTGCACTGTGTTGATTACTATAGCATTTAAAAGAGTCGGTGCTTTCTTGTTTGGCATGTAACACTTTTAGAATAGTAGTTAACATTCCAAATTATGGACAGTATGCTACGCAACAGTTTAGCTCAGTTAGCAAAGAGTCCGCGTTCACTTATTTGTCGTTCGGCGTTCAATCACTGTCATTGCTCTTTTTTCTATTTTTCATCTCACTTAAACTCAGCTTCACATGTTTAGCCTCAAATAAAAATGGGTATTACATATTAGTCCCTTAAATCTAGAATAATTTCGTATTAGTCCCTTAATCTACAATAACTCCATATTAAGAGCATCTCCAACAGTTTCTCCAAAATTTTCTCCAAAATGGGGAAGCAAAAGTCATATTCTTCAACTAATTTTTACACCAATTCTAACAGCTTCCCCATTTTGAAGAATCTATTTTTTCCTCCAAAAATTTGGAGAATGCTGTAGATTTGGGGAAGCTTCCCCATTTTTTCTCCTCCATCCCTATTTTGGGGAATGAGATGGAGAATCTATTGGGCCAAAAACCTAACTAAATTCTCCAAAAGTGAGAAATGGGGAAGCTGTTGGAGATGCTCTAATGCCCTGTATCTTTGAAGTTGTTCATTAATCCCTCAATGACCAAAACACCTTATTTCACTTCAATATCACATAGTTCTTTGAACTTTGATACCCAAAATCTATAATATTTCATATTACTCTTTCAAATCTACAATAATTCCATATAATTTTTTCTGACACTTTGTTATGACAAATTTATACTTTTTAAATTTTGATATACAAACGTTTGCCTTGGACACTTTGATACCCCAAAATTGTTTTAGAGTATCAAAGCTAAAGTATGTAAACTTGAAGGTATTACTTTAAAATATATATATAAATCTTTGTGCTATCAAAGTTAAAATACTTATATTTTTTGTGGTTTTAAAGTGCTAAAAAACTTTGAGTTATCAAGGATAAAAAGATGGTTTTAGAGAATTGGATTCATCAAACATGTTCGACGGTAATAAGTGGAGGTAAAGGTATGAGGTACTTTTACCTAATGTAGGGACAATATTTATGACAATTGTCTAAGCAAATCGGACAGTACACGCGTCACTATTCTATTGGTTGAGGTAGTCATGGAATTTACTTTGTGAGCAAGTAAATCCACATAACAAGACCTCTTTAGTGGAAGAATGAAATCCACATAACAAGACCTCATTAGTGAAAGAAGGTTCCTCTGACATGTATTACAATCAATAAAGTTATGAAAGTTGGTAATTAAAGGAATTGATTATCGATGAGAGGCCTATATACATCTTATCTTCAAAGATTCTATATGATTTGAAACAAAATATATGATTTTAAAAACCGCAGAAAAAAATAAAAACGCAAAGATATAATAAACTAAAGGGTAAGTCGCACATAACTCCCTTATATATATGCCTTCAATTGGCACTTATCCTCAGTCAATTCTTAAGAGTGCTATGTGCTAATAAATAACTTAGGGGATTAAGTTATTAACTGAAGGTATAGATGAGGGACTATATACAATTTACCTTAACTTAAGTTTATTATAAAGGGTTTTTGTTTTTAGGCTCATTTGTTTACTCCTCTTTATCTTTAAATCCAAGTACTATTACTTATATCTTTAAGCCTAACTCTCTTTTTGTATTTATCTTTAAACCCAATCTTCAAAATACAATACTTTCAGCACTTGTATTTATACAGAATCCCCAAAATACCCCTTGGCCCCATATAAACCAGTATCTCTCATCATCCTACCCTTTTCAACTCAGTCCTAAATTAAAAAAAGATAGCCCTATTGCCGTCATCGCCAGTCTCCAGCCGTCGTCGCCCGTCGTCGTTGTTGCCCATCGCTCGTCGTCTCCAGCACGCCGTCCCGTGCCCGCCTTGTCTCTAGCCGCCTTCTACTCCAACCACCGTCTCCAGTCGTTTTGTTAATGGGCAAGTTTGAATGAGTCTAAAACGTTGGGTTGCTAGAATGAAGGTGAAGCATTCATGGAGACCAAGACCAATGAGCCAGCCTTGAATGAATAATTAGTTTTCTTAGCTTCTTATAATCATGTCTTTTTGTCATTGTTCGATAATTGCTTCTGTATTGTAAGGGACGGGGCGACAGGGTGGAGGGATTTCCTGTTGAAAGGCGAGGGAGGAGGTCACTAGAGGGTGGGTCGCCAGTAGAGGGAAATGTTAAGGTCAGAGAGAGAGAGAGAGGAATGATATATGAAAATGGGGAAGAAGGAATAAGCGAGTATTTCTTTTGTCGCCCGTCTCCAGCCGCCGTCTCCGTTGCCCGCCGCCTCGTCACCCTGGACACGAAGCTATATAGATGTGTTTGTAATGTACGGGTGTGTTGATGTGTTTGTAATGTATGGGGGCAATTGGTGAGGTTTTTTTTAAGAACTGGTTTTATTTAGATGCTATATTTATTATTTTTGTGCATAATTATGCTTAATTTTTTATGGTGAGGTAAAATTCAGTTGGTTAAGAATAATATTTAGAGCACTATGGTGTAGTTTATCTACTTAGTTGATTTAGTATGATGCTAATAGATGGGGGTAACCGATGTTATGTGCTGAAGCCTGATAAAGTTATTTTTTTTTACCTTTGAAAATAAATTCTGGTAATTTAATGTTGATGTTAATTGGATGCAACTGCTAGCAAAGGGAAAGAAAAATAATAGTGAAGCTGAATATGACAAAGGAGTAACCCATACTCACCATTGTCTTCCCTTGATTTCTTGGATAATGTGCTACACTGGGTAACATGCTATACTTATTGGATAGTGTGCTATACTTACAGGTTAACGTGCTATACTTACTGTGTAACGTGCTATACTTATAGGCTAACATGTTATACTTACATTATTACGTGCTATATTTACAGGTTAATGTGTTATGCTTACAGACTAACATGCTATACTTACAGACTAACGTGCTATACTTACAGGTTAACGTGTTATACTTACATTATAACATGCTATACTTACAGGTTAATGTGTTATACTTATAGACTAACGTGCTATACTTAGAGACTAATGTGTTTTACTTACAGGCTAACGTGCTATACTTACATTATAACGTGTTATACTTATAAGCTAACGTGCTATATTTACATTATAACGTGCTATACTTACATGTTAACGTACTATACTTACATTATAACGTGCTATACTTATAGTTTATGTGTTATACTTACAGACTAACATGCTATACTTACAGACTAATGTGCTATACTTACAGGTTAACGTGTTATACTTACATTATAACGTGCTATACTTACAGGTTAACATGTTATACTTACATTATAACGTGCTATACTTACATTATAATGTGCTATACTTACAAACTAATGTACTATACTTACAGTCTAATATGCTATACTTACAGGCTAACGTGTTATACTTACATTATAATATGCTATACTTACAGTTTAACGTGCTATACTTACATTATAATGTGCTATACTTACAGGTTAATGTGCTATACTTACAGGTTAATGTATTATACTTACATTATAACGTGCTATACTTACTGACTAACGTGCTATACTTACAGGTTAACCTGTAAGTATAGCACATTATAATATAAGTCTAGCTTAACCTATAAGTATAACATGTTATAATGTAAGTATAGCACGTTGTCTGTAAGTATAGCACATTAGTCTGTAAATTTAGCACGTTAGTCTGTAAGTATAACACATTAACCCGTAAGTATAGCACGTTATAATGTAAGTATAACACGTTAACCTGTAAGTATAGCACATTATAATGTAAATATAGCACGTTAACCTGTAAGTATAGCACGTTATAATGTAAGTATAACACGTTAGCCTGCAAGTATAACACATTATAAATGTAAGTATAACACGTTAGCATGTAGGTATAGCACATTAGTTTATAAGTATAGCACGTTAGTCTGTAAGTATAACACATTAACCTGTAAGTATAGCACGTTAACCTGTAAGTATAGCACATTATAAGTAAGTATAGCACGTTAGCCTATAAGTATAACACATTAGTCTGTAAGTATAGCACGTTAGTCTGTAAGCATAACACATTAACCTATAAGTATAGCACGTTATAATATAAGTATAACAAGTTAACATATAAATATAGCACATTATAATATAAGTATAGCACGTTAACCTGTAAGTATAATACGTTATAATATAAGTATAGCACGTTAGCCTGTAAATATAGTACATTAGTCTGTAAGTATAGCATGTTAGTTTGCAAGTATAACACATTAACCTGTAAGTATAGCACATTATAATGTAAGTATAACACGTTAACCTGTAAGTATAGCACGTTATCCAGTAAGTATAGCATGTTACCCAGTATAGCATATTATCTAAGAAATCAAGGGAAGATAATGGCGAGTATCGATTACTCCTTTGTCTCCTTTGTCATATTCAGCTTCACAATTAT